TTTAGAGCACCAATTTGTTGCTTATTTAAATTAATTGATATTACATCAAATAATGTATTAGTTTGATAGAAATTTTAAATAAAAATAATAATTAAATTCTTATATTTTTTCATCTAGCTTAATATAAATATAACTCTAGTGCATCAAATCTACTAATGAATCTCCCCTCAATCAAGCCTAGCATAATACATATGTTGTGGTAGTGGAAGGTAGTTGGGATGTATGTAACCCAACTAGTGGTTAGATGAGTGACGGTGAATAAGTTGAATATGGATATGATCTGGTTTTGTATATAAGATTTGGGGAAGGATATGCTGAATTATGGGTTACTTAATTAGGAATCAATTGGAAGTTATTAATGATAATGGTGGTGGTGGTGGTGATAGTGATTGTTCTCTTTATGCTAGTCTTCTACTTAAGAAAATAGAGGTACTAACCTTCAAAGAGGGTTATATGAATCTCTAGATGCAATTGGTAACAACTTTTAAAAATTAATTACTTTTATTAAATATTACTTAAACATGTAGTAATTAAAATAAACTAAATATATATATATATATAAGTTCTAAGTTACTAAATAATAAATTTTAATTAATTAATAATGCATAAATATCAATCAAAATTTTCTTTCATATAGCTTTCAATTACTTTTGAAATATATTTATTATTATCATCACTATGTATTCATTAATAAAATCATTAATTTCCTTGCATTGAACATTAATATCTTATAAGTTAGTTATTGGTTCAACATCTCTAGCAAAAATCTAAGTTGTAATATTTTTTTCTCGATATGGAATAGAGGTTACATTTTAAAATTTAAATGTACCTACTTTATTTTATCTACCTTTTTACAATAATATTTTTTGCATAATATGCTTGGAAAAAAAAATCAAAATTGCCAATTATTAAGTTATTTTGATCTAAAAAATACTGTACATCTTATTCATTTTTTTCTCTCTCAATAAAAAGATCAAAACAATCACTGAACAGGAACACTTTTCTCTCATACTTACAAGAATATTAAGACTGTTTATTTTTTCTAGAGATTTTATAGTATCCACCTTCACTCCTTATGCGTGTTTTCTTTATTACACGTTATTGTTGTTAGTATTTCTCCATAAGAACCGTGAGTAATGAAAATTTAAATCCATTTCTAATAAAAATTTTACAAAGCTTGACTCATATTATTGTTCCCTAAACCGGATCGTGCAATTAGTTACCAGATTGGTTAATAATCAAACTTTTTATAATAGGTTAGTGAGATCTCTTAGATCGATTATAGATGCTATAGCTGGTGGTTCTTTAATGTCAAAACCTTTTGATGAGGCTTATTCATTAATAGAAGAGATGGCTACCAACAATTTTCAATGGCCCTCTGAGCGGGTAAATCCTAAAAGAGTAGCTAGTATCCATGATTCTGATGCAATATCTATGTTAGCTTCACAGATTGTTGCAATATCAAAGAAATTAGATCATTATGGGATGAATTATTCTTCAACACCTCCCATGATGGAAGAGAATTCATCTGGGCAATTTGTGGATGTTCAACCTTCATATGAGACCTTAAATGCTAGTAATAGACCCAACAACCCATATTGAAACTATTATAACCCAGGTTGGAAGAATCATCCAAATTTTAATTGGAATAAAAATTCTTCTACAAATCAACAATGGGCAAACAACCCAGTGAACCCATTAAGAAATTCATCCAACCAAGGAAATGTTAATTATAGACCTTCTTATCCTCTAGGATTTAACAGTAATACTCAAATTAAGGAGAAGAAGTTGTCTATGGAAGAGCTGATATTAAACATGGGTCAATAATTATAGAATCAAGGAAATCAATTACAAATTCAAGGATATCAATTACAAAATCAAGGAACTGCTATTAAGAATATTGAAAACCAATTAGGGCATGTCGCTACTGCACTTAGTAACCGAGCATTAGGAACTTTTCCTAGTATTGTGGAACCAAATCCTAAAGACCAAGGAAAAGAACAAATCAAAACGATACAATTACGAAGTGGAAAAGAATTTGAAACAAAGGTGTAAAAAGAAACAGAAATTGAAAAAGAGATAGTGGATACCGAAAAAGAAAAGGATCATGAATACCCAGATTTAGAGTATCCATTTACACCAATGAAAATTACTGTGGAGAAACCTCCACCACCGTTTCCTCAAAGATTGAAG